TCCGTAGAAGGTTTTTTGGAAATAGTTTCCAAAAACCAGTTATGATAATGGAGCACCCTGGATTTTTAAAGCATTGAATTTAAAAATTTGACAAAAACCCTGCTCACCCCGTTGAACCACTCTCCACTGCACCGAGTCGATGAGGGCAAAACCACAAGTTAATAAATAAATAAAATTCAGAATCGTTCTTTCTTAACCCCAAACTTGGCTTAAGACATCAGCTTCATTGGCTGATGAACACTGAATCTTTGAATCAACTTGTACTCAAATACTCAAATACTCAAGATAAATACTCAAATCATCAAGCACAAATAAAAAAGTTATTTATCAATCTTAAACTATGAAGAGACTACGAAAAATGAAATCAAAGAACGCTGCCAAAAAAGAATAATTTTTCTTATCAATAATGAAAGACTTCTATTCTACTTTAAAACCTCAATGAACTTTCGTCATTAAGCTGGTTAATCTTTTTTTTCGGGGAAGCTTTGATCAAAAGTTAGATAAAAGGGAAACGTTTTAACGTTTTCCTTGCTGAAAAATCTTCGTTATTGTCATTATTTTTCAATAACGTAATCAAATCTATCAAAATATGAGGGAATTCCTAAAACTTTATGCTTTCTTCAGCCTTTTCTATGTTGTCCAATCGTTCAACCAAAGAGGTAGCCTAAATTTCCGAAGAGATGCTTAACATTTGTGCTAAAGATGCTAAATAATGCTAAAAGAGATGCTAAATGTGCCAAACGAACTGTTTGTGTTTTGTGCTCACTGACAAGGGAACCCCACCAGAACCCTGGCATTGGCTGGAAACAGAGTGTTCCTGTGATGCAGAATTTCACGGTGATTTAGAATCTATAATCAGAGTTTCCTAAAGTCGCAAGCAAAAAAGAGATTCAAATTCTTTTCGTCAAATTTTTAAGCAGCCATCGGCGCGCAATAAGATCCTTTTTCACGCCGTTCTTCCAAATACCACGGTGGCCTAGTTGTTATTGCGCTTGCGTCGTGGGCGAACTGCCGTTTTTTTTTGCACGGGTTCAATCCCCGTGCCGCCATCTTTTTTTACTTTTTTGATTTTTTTGTGTCAAGTTCGTTTTTAATTAAACAAATGCATTTTGGTGCAACCAAAAAACCGTGCGGATACAAATTACGTTTTAGAAAAAAAACGAAAAAAGGTTATTGATGCGCATAGTATTTTAAATTATATGATGATAAAGATCTTACAAGGGAACCCCACCAAACCCCCGAAATTGTTTGGCTGGAAACAGAGTGTTTCTGATGCAAAATTTTAACGCAAGAGCGCTTACAGAGAAAAATTTTGGAGACGCATTCTAAAATGCTACGGTAATCCGCAATTTCCATTGCTTAAAACCATTTTCCGTTGTTTTTATTCATTTTTCACCGTTTTTCTTTGCCACTTCATCGCAAAATCCATCAAGATCAACTGCTTTAACAGAAGTTAAGTGTTTTTGATTCTTTTTATCTTCTGGAACGGTTCGCTTTGTTTTAATGACTTTTACAGAGAGATCGATGAACACAAATGTCGAATTGCCAAAACTTTTAACGAAACAACGACAGAAACAACAACAGAAACAACAATAACGTCCCGGTTGAAAGGTTGGTAAATAGTTAACAATTTTAAATATTCTTTTTGTGTTTTGTGACATTTGTGTTCGTCGATCTCTCTGCAAAAGTCATTAAAACAAAGCGAACCGTTCCAGAAGAAAAAAAGAATCAAAAACGCTTGACTTCTGTTATAGCAGTTGATCTTGATGAATTTGCGATGAAATGGCAAAGAAAACCGGTGAAAAATGAATAACAGCAACGAAAAATTAAGCTTTAAGCAATGGGAATTGCGGATTACGGTAGCTAGTGCATTTTAGAATGCGTTCCCAAAATTTTTCTCTCTAAACGCTCTTATGTAAATTTTACGATGAATCTGTAATCAGAAGTTCTTAAAGCCTGTCAAATTTGTTTAATTAAGAACCAATTTGACACAAAAAAAGCAAAAAAAAAGATGGCAGCACGGGGATTGAACCCGTGCAAAAGTAATGCGGTTCGCCTATGACGCGAGCGCACTAACGACTATATTCTGCCTTAGAAACACCCTGTTTCCAGTCAAACAATGTCGTTGCTCTGGTGGGGTTCCCTTGTGAGACCCAACTCGGTTTAATCAAGTCTGACTTTTAAAACTAAATCGATAAATAATTCCCACCAATCAGAGCAAAGAACAGGCGTTGTTCGCGTGCTTTGCTACAAATGTGAGCATTCGGTGTTTGCAACTATTTTAGACACAATATCTGTTTAGTTCACTAACTCTGACATTGCCAATTACACTTATTTACAGTTAGAAAAGCTCTATTTCAGGAAATCTCCTTCTTCACGAAGAGCCAGCCAAAGCCCATCCGGTCATCCGGGCTTTCACAACTGGCACAACTTTCATTTTTGCAATCCCAAACTCTCATATTGGGTATAAAGCTTTAAAAAGAAACCTTTCATTCAAATCGAAACAAGCAAATTTGTTAACAAAATTTTCTTTGTAAACTTTTTTTCGAACAAATTTATTGCAGCGTCAACGACACGAGCTACACAGAGGAGATAACTTTAATCGTGACAAACTATGACACTGTGTGAGTTTCCATTCTTTTTTCACTCAAATTTTTGCAATCTTATTTGTGTTTTAGAGAATACAATGCAAATAAAAAGTCTAAATCCAATTGTTGATCTAAAATTTGCATCGATCCAAAATTCTTTAGCAACCCAGCCACTGTCACCGTTAGCACCCCATCGGCAGTCTTTAAAACAACCACTTTCACCATAGCTCCACTGCAGAATTATCGGGTAACAGCTTAAACTGAGGATTTCAATATTTTCAATATTTCCAGTTCTCGGTCCCAGCAGAAATCCAAGTCGGCTATAAAAGGGAACCAAAGAATGAATGGTTTTACTCGAGTCAAAGCATTTATCTGACAGCTGACACAAAGGTTTAGATTGAAGTCAATTTGATGAAAACTTTTTCCAGGTTTCCCTTGTGGCTCAAAATCTCGCCTCAGACTCGATTTCTGGTGGAATGTTCGTCGTTTATCCGGTACTAACTAAAAACTAACTCGAAATTCGGCTTAATTGTTCTAGACTTGCACACTTGGTCAGAGCTATCGAACGGTGGGCGACGACACAAGCCGGTTCCCCGTCAGAAATGATTGGTCGATCATCGCCACGCAGGACAATACTGCGGTAATAAACGAATCCACTGAAAGACTAAGCCGAGAACTGTACAGTATCCTTAGTGTGCAACAGTTCACTGAATTTAATCGTCAACCGATTTTGGGACATTTGAATCGCGCACCGCCGCATTTGCCCCTTTTGCCCCTTGCCATTGGCAATCTAACTTTGAGCTCAAATATCTTGATGTTAGGCCGTGCAATTTCAATAGTTTTTCTACCAATCGATAGAGAAAGACTTGGCGCATCGAATGATACCAAGAATATTTCAACAGAACAGCCCAACCGCAAGAAATGTGAGCTCAAAGTTGGGTTGTCAATGGCAAGCTCCGCCCCTTTTGCATTGGCAATCTATCTTTAAGCTCAAATATCTTGGTCTTAGGCTGTGCAATTTTAATAGTTTTTCTACCAATCGATAGAGAAAGACTTGGCGCATCGAATGATACCAAGAATATTTCAATTGAACAGCCCAACCGCAAGAAATTTGAGCTCAAAGTTAGCTTCCCGATGGGAAAAGGGGCGGAGCGATCAACTGTCCGATAGCCAACCGGCACAGCATTTCATTTCTTCAGATCACTGTCAACCCGCCACTCTTCGGTCAAACTAGTTTCTCTTTGAATGCCGGTCAGATCTTGGTCTTCTCATCCAATGATTTTTCCAACGTAAATACTCAAATCATCGGCAACTTTCCGATCGGTTTGCTGACATACTTGCGCTTTCTACATTACTTTCTTTAGCGATGGTTGTGGGCACGGCTTGCGGCCTCGGCTACTACAGTAACAAATTATGTAACTATGAGGTTGGAAACTATGTAACTTGAAAAAACTATGCAAACTTACAAAATATGTAACTTGAAATTGATCTTCAACATATTTTAGGCATCCATGTTGTTCCCAGTTCCTGCTGGCACCGCTTTCCCATTCACGCAATTTATTTCCGAAGACCCAGGAGAGGGGCAGCTGCTCATTCTTGCACAGGTTTGTCTTTTGGGAATTGAGTTCCTTCAAAACTTGCAAGTTAATGTTTGTCCGTTCTTGCATTTCTGGACTATGTAAAGGCAAATTTCTGGACTAGACCAGATCAGTCATAGTACTGCAAAAAGCCATGACATGGCTTTGCCTGACCAGTGAGCTGGTAGACTTAACTCGTAAATGTTTGGATCTGACTTTTAGCTGACCTAGTCTGGATTGCAGGCCTGACTTACCGTACTAGGTCGAAACATTTTCCCAATTCGCAGTCGGGCCTTCTAGAATACTCAATAAAGGGTAGCACAAACAACCCCTTGAAAGGAAAGGGCGTGGAAAAGTAGCCGTCAAGGTGTCCTAATGGTGGATTGTCAGAGTGCTTGTCTCTCAATCCGAAATCCGAAAATGTGGGGTTCGACCCCGGCTGCAGTCATTGCCGACGTACCAACCAGCCAACGCCTGCAGTCAATGCTGCGGCCTTTAGTTCTCTTCCCTTTCGCTTGTCAGAACAGTAACTTGTGAGATTTTGACCTATCAGCAACTATTTGAAATAGTGTTGTAACACGGATTTGTTCAACTGCTTGCAAGCAATAAATTATCAATTTCTTTTGTCTAGGACAACGACACTTTGGTCTTTTCGAATGGACGAGCCATATCGACGCTTGATGCTTTCGGATATGCCAGTTTCCTAGTGACTGATGTGTACATCACGACAAACAAACCAGTTTATGCGTTCGCTGTGAGTTTCTTCGGAGATTACTCGATCCTAAGCCGTTCTTCCAGTTCTCGTCGATGCGCCAAGACGGTCAAGGTTCCCCATTCCTTGTTCACATCCCTGCCGTTTCCCAATTCACCAATCAAAGCTACATTCAAGTATGGCAGAGTTGATCAAGAAATCATCTATGTTTTGCTCTAAGCAAACCCCGTGTTATAACACTATTTCTAGGTGACAACAGGGTTGAAATCAAAGCAAGGTTGGGCTGAACAACATTTCATTCGTCTTGAGACTGAAATGACGGCCACTCAAAGCAAGTCAAAACTATCAATTGATGGCTCTCCAGTCTCTCCATCGCTTTTCCAAAGGTATGGCAATGTATTGTTAAAGGGCTAGACTTTGCTCAGAATGCAAATGCATTATTTCTGGTGTACTGAATGGGTTTTATGTGGCAGAAATATAGAAATCTCTTTTTTTTCATGTGCCCATTTTCAAAGTAAACAAAAACAAACTTGCCTCCTAGTTTAAACTGATGAATTCTAAGCACGTTTAGAGCGACAATTTAAACGGAACCCAGTTCAATCGAGAATTTAGACAAGGAACCTCAAACATTTACATGGTCGACTACCCAATTTCCCCGGGAACACACACAATTGAGACGATCGATCCAGCGGTGAAATACGCGGCGATTGTCTACGGATTTATGCAATTCATAGCCTACGCTTATACTCCAGGCATCGATCTTCCAAGTAAAAAGCTTGCATGTTTCAAAAATTATCTCCTTTTAGCATTTGGCAATTGTTGAGCTGCAAAATGAATCTAAATGAGCACCACTTTTATTGGAGTAATAAAAGTCTGAAATTTGGTATAAACAAGTTTCACGTTCGAAATGAGTAACTTTTTTTGGTTTTTGACAGTGACAGGCATTTTTTTTTTGCTGTCGGTTCTCTTAATTTCCATTTTCTCACCATTCAAGCATTTTCTTCTAAAACAACTCTCGATTTTGTCTATATAAGCAGACCGAAAGTCTTGATTCATCAACATTTCAAATGAGCACGAGATACAGATAGTGTTTTGGACTCCATGACAAGGAAACTGAAAGCTGATCTTGTGTTGATCTTGGAATAAATGATTCAATAAATGATCATGTGTTTCTAGAACTAGTAACTTTTAACTCTGCTGGAAAAGCAAGTTTGCGGCTCTATTTCTGCGCAAAAACTTGAAATTGCTTTTCTACCTTTCACGTACAACTCTCTGCAAGATCTCTGCAAAAGTTAGTAAAGAAATTTGATGTAAACCGTAGAGTATATAAAAAGTTCCTTACGATTAGCAAGAAAGAAGTTGATAGGGAAACAACTGAAAAAAGGATTTCAAGTGTCCAATCGTTTACAAAAACTTTAAAGTTTAAACTTTAAACTATTGCGTTGGTGAATTGAAAACTGCCGGACTTTGAACTAAAATTTATTCAACATAAAACCATGAATTCATTCGAAATAATTTCCATTATTATTGACGACTTCTGCCCATTTTACAGGCAATTTGCGGATTCCTCTTTCGTAGTAGGATTTTGGTTTGTGTGTGAGACAAGTGTGAGACTCAAAAATGGAGGGCTGGAGATGTCCCAGTTTGAGCACTTTCTTCAAAAGAAAGCCATTTTGGTGTCAATAGAAAAGTTGTAGAGAATCAAAAATTAGGCTTATAGCCAAATTTCCAAAAAGACACACTTAGTAGTTTCGCTTAAAATGCAAGTTTTGTGAAAATTCGTAAATTTGGCATTTCTTGAAAACCAGTTTTGGAATCGTTCTGAAAATTTGGATCTAAGCTTAATTTTTGATTCTCTACAACTTTACCATTGACACCAAAATGGGTTTCTTTTGAAGAAAGTGCTCAAACTGTCACATATGACAATAGTCGGCAGTTTTCAATTCACCAACCTAATATTAAAGATTATTAAAGTATTAAAGATTATTAAAGTATTAAAGATTATTAAACTATTAAAGATTATTAAACTATTAAAGATTGAAGATTTTTTTATTGAAGAGACGATTTCGAATTTAACTGTTTTTCAGCATAGGCATCAGCATTTTTTCAGCATGAATCTGAGCTTATTTTAGTTCGATTTTTGCATTGTACGGTCAATCTTTAGATGTATGTTTGACGGGTTTAACCATGTGTTTTGCATGAGTTTTTTACTTGAATAAAAATTCCTCTTAAAAGACAGACAATTTATCGTTGATCAAGTTGGTAAAGTTTGAGAAATGGCTTTCAAAATGCCATCATACATTCAAGTTTATCATCATTTTTGATTTACAAACATTATTAGCAAAAGAACACTCGGCGTTACGTCTTTTTGCCTTCAGAAAAGGCGTCGACAAGCGCGATAGCATTTGAGTAGACACCGGCGGCGATCGCGGCCACTCCAATGAAAATGCAAAAACAATTCCACGAAATTTTGATGCCACGCATGAGAGAGGACATTGAGTTCTAAGTTTTGCATTTGTGAGTTGATTTTACGATCGAGTTCATCTAAAAACATGCTCCATAGTAGACTATGGAGCATGGTTTTGGCTAAAGTATGATCCAGTCTTGCTGACTAAACTTACAATTAGATTTGTGACTTGATTCGTAGATAGCCAATAGGCCAGATTTTAGCCGATCTGACCAAATCAATAATCATATCCAACTTTACCTTCCACTCATCCCAAAAAGTCATCATCTCGAAGAGGGGAGGAAAGACGAGGGCACAAAGAGTCCCCGATGTGACTCCAACCAATGGGATCATGATTTCGAGATGCGGAATGCCGATAGCCATTCCATACGTGACCAAAACCCAAAACAATCTGAAATGTTTGCGTTTGTAAAAGTTTATGACGTAAAAACTTATCAATTTGACAGATGACAGGTCAGATTGGTCAGATCGGCTAAAATCTGGCCTATTGGCCATCTACGAATCAAGTATGACATATTTCTTATTTCAATAGTTTCTAAACGAATTTTACCTGAATCCTTTGTCCAACACGATTTCAGGAATCCTCGGGCAACGCTCGTTAATTGCTTTTGAAAAACCAGAATAGAAAACATCGATGATGACATATCTAAAAGCAAAGATAAAGATTGATAAAGAAAAGATTCTCGAAAAACTCATTACAAAGCAATCGAATGCACAATAAGTGTCTGAATCATCAGAGAGATGTTCACCGCCGAGTAAAGCCTAAAATTGGATCGATTTTGTGGTGTCATCATTTCTTTACCCCTCCTTTGGCACATTGCTCGTAATCGATGGGGCTATTTGGTCACCAAAACTTGTGTACCTGTAAGTTGAATATTTCTAAATCTCAGAGAAATCTAGAATTACCCCAAGAAGCCGATAGCTGTCATCGCGGAGCCACAGCTGAGCATTGTTGTCGAGAGGACACCGAATTTCGCGAGAAACGCTTCTGGATGCTTGAGCTTGTTTTCAACGGGTAACATCTGAAAATGGTATTTGAAATAGGGTGTTTTCTAAGATCTATAATTTCTCAAAATATAGTTTTGTCAAAATAATACTACAGGGTGGCTAAAATTATCGCAACCAATTTCCTGAAAACTATTCTTTTCCAAAAAACTTTCTACAAAAAGTACCATGTATTATATACTATTTGAAAGCTCTAATTCTCAGCATCATTAATGGATCAAAGATTTTTTTGGCCAGAGCTAATTTTTGACCCTTACTGGCTTTCGGAATCGTCTTGCACCCAACGGCGATCTGCCATTTTTCATGGCTTTCTAAGTAAAAATTTGTCCAAGAAAAACAGGAAACACAATCAAATTTGTACATATTTTACCAAAATTAATTTAATTCAATACTTTAAAACCAAAATGACAATCCAAAAGTGACTCAATCAGCAGAATCAGACATCCTAAAAAACGCGAATTTCACTACTGGCCGCAAAATAGTGATTTGCAGCAAGTTGTGAGCCCGTTTTAACTAACTTGTACATGCTCGGTTAACATTTGCCTTTATTTTGAAACAAAAGAATTGGGAAAAGATTACTCAGTTGAAAACAATCTTTTCAAAACACTCCTGAAATTCAAAACCAAGAAAAATGGCAGATCGCCGTTGGGTGCTTGCGACGAGCTCATTCCAAAGGCCAGTAAGGGTCAAAACTTAGCTCTGGCCAAAACTTTTTAATTTATTAATGATGCTGAGAATTAGAGCTTTCAAACAGTATATAATACATGCTACTTTTTGTAGAAAGTTGTTTGGAAAAGAATAGCTTTCTAAAATTGGTTGCCATAATTTTGGATCACCCTTTAAACCGGCCGCTTAAATCTCATCCAATCATAGCAACGTTTCCGGACCAACCATAGTTTGTCCTTCAAACGCGTACATCAATATTCCAATCATTGTCGCCGTTCCGGTAAAGTCGCTACTTGCCGGCAGTTGGTCGAATTGATTCGGTTGTCGAACGGTATACTGCAAGATCATCACGATGCCAACGGCAAAGAAAATCGCTGACGTCTAAAAAGTGTTCCGATTAATGAAATTGCTGTTTTCACTTACCATAGCAAAATATGCAATGACTTTCATCCTTGTGAACATATTTACGAGTATCAGAAAAGGCAGGCAAATCGTACAAGCGATGAACATTTGCTCGTTTTTCGTCGAGCCGAGATACCTGCCGCCGAGATTAACCTGAGAATAAACTTTTTGATTTCTTTGTTTCTTTTAAGACGGTTGAGATTGGTTACGTTGAAAAAGTGATCATTTTAGAAAAGATCGTAACCAAAATTGCTGGAAAATATCGTAACCAATCTCAACCGTCTTAATTTTGATGTTTTCTTCTCGATAATGAATCACAAAGCTCAATCAACAATTTCAAAATTGTTTGTTGCGTAAAAACGAATAGATCAACTTAACATCAATATTCTAAGAGCTGTGAACTTTGATTTATTTGGATAGCTAGATATAAAATGGTTAAAATTACCAAATCCATTCTACTACAGGAAATCAGTATGAGTTTAGTGCTAAAAAGTCCTAATAAAGTCAAGATCTTAAAGCAAGATCAAAAGTGGATAAAAGTCAACGTTCAGTAGCGGTAATAACCAACCATGTTCACCGAAATAAACAACACCGACACGCTGCAAAGTCCAAGTTGATAAAACAGTATTGTTGCGTTGACAAAGTAGCTAAATTTTGATTGTAACATTATCGATGAACTTTTACGTACGTAACCGGTTTAGCGATACCTCGTAACAGTTTGTGCTCGGAGTATTGACAGACTTTTTGCGCGAGATGCCCGTAGTCCAAGGCGTCGTGCTTAGTAGATCTGCAAAAGAATATTTTGAAAGTCTAAAGGGCAACAATTGATCCATGCAGCTCAAAGCAGACTCACTTTTTCGCTAGATGCTGGCTCGACTTGACGAGAACGTGATTGCCATACCAATTAAAGCAGAGAACAAGAATTGAGGTGATGAAAGAGACCTAGAATGTCGGTTTTTAAATTTAGAAAAATTGATCGATTTAGGCTAATGGAAATCAATAATCAACTTAAACCCTCACCCACAAACCACCACGTTTCCAAGCGTACGGTAGAGAGAAACAACCGGTGTTGAACATGGCTTTCGAGAGAGTCAGCACGGCTCCTGTTGAACTGAATATATACCATCTTTATTCCAAGAGCTCTCTAATAGAAGAGCCCTCTCCAATAGAAGAACCACCTTTAGACAAACTTTTTAATTTTTTCGAATTTTTTAATTCTCGAATAGCAAAATGCAATGCAAAACGACTTCAAGCAAAATGCTTGAATAGCAATTTTTTAAAGATTTCCAAAGGTTTTAAATAATAGTTATATCCTAAAAAAACGCTGGATTGAAATTTCGAAGCTTTAAAGAACTCTAAAGAATAGTGCCCCGTCCACAAAACGACTGCCACAAGGGGGTACCGGGTTCGATTCCCCGCCGTTCCAAACTTTTTGACCTTAAATGCTTTTAGACATGGAGTTGAAGTATGCAAATTTGAGTAGCCTCGCAGTGAAGGTATTGTTACAGGAGTCTCGGAGATGGCCCTTTAACTCGAGAGATCAAACTATGCGTTAGCCCTGAAGCCAGAAAAACCCGCGTTTTTTTCGGCTGGTCGAAAAATAGCAGAAGAAAAATAGAAGTTGAAAAATTTAGAATGTTTACAGTATATACGGCATTTTTTTTTGCTCGTTGAAAGGTTTACGATTCATATTTTTCTTTGTTACTACCAAATAAAGAGGATTGAACCACCTAACGACATCGCCTGTCCTTTCTTCACCCTCCTGGTGAGAATCGTCGATTGGTGGTAGCTTTTCGTTACTAAAAATTCACTTTCTCTATCTTGCACTAATCCGAAAGAAAACTACCGTTTTCCTATCGATTCTACAACAATCGGTGGCAATTTTGCGTCCTCGTCAAGATATTTTAGATGAGAAGTCTCAAAATTGTTGCTCCCGCCTTCACTCGAGTCCATTTTTATTGAGTTTCTGAGAAATTGATTTGAAAAATTTTATTTGGAAGCTTGTACAGGTAAAGAAAGAAAGCTTTTGAGATATTCCAAATTTTTTGAAGCTGAAACCTTAGATTTAACGTAGAATGGCAACAGTTTTAAGCTTTTAACAGTCCCGACGAGAGTTAAGTAGTTTATTTATTGAGTAAAAAAAGAGAAATGGATAGGTAAATGAAAATAAATCGTGGGAATTCGATTGTAAATAGACAAACGATGTCATGCGATCCAGCCGTGTTTCGTTGTTTTTACCCATTACTGATGTGTATACTTCACTTTTAATCCTTTTCACAACAACAACGACTTGTCTGTGTTTTTGTTTTTTCAAGGTTGGCAAAAAGGGAGTGTTTGTTTCTCTCTTTTCTCATTATTTCCCTGAACCGGGTGATCGAGAAAGAGAAAATATCTAGATAAGATTTTTTTCACAAATAGTTTTAAACCGTATGATGTATGTTTGAATTAGTTCGTTTGGTTGAATGATAGACAAATTATTAAAAAACAAAACTAGATTATAAGTTTAGAAAGTGTGCATAGGATATATGATTCTTTTAGAACTCTTTATATGCCAAGTTCATTCGACATTTTCAATTGTCTGTGTTCAATTGTCAATTTTCAATTTTCAATTTCAATGTCAAAAGTGTTTTTAGAAGATTTTAAATAGGTTTTACATGATTTCAAAAAAAAAAATGGCTTAATTGACCAGTGGAAAAGCGTGAATCCGATAAGAAATGTGAGAAACTCAAACATTATGGAGCGAAATGACATTGCTATGATAAAAGATGTAATGCTTCGACTATTGTGAAATAAATCTTAAAGTGATTTAATGTTAAAGTTGCTTTGAATCGGCTTTTCAACCTAATGATCAGCCTCGATTTCGCTCAAACTGTCCACAACGCAAAAGTCATTCAAACACTTCAAAAAAAAACTCTTTATGTTCAAAATCAGGAGGCAAATTCGAAAATTATCCACAAACAATTTTACATTTAAACCATCTGCAAACCAATCGAATCCGCTTGAGACAGTTTCGAATATTGTTCAGACTCAACCAGCGAATTCGAGCCTTTGAAGCATCGAACGGCTTCTTTTCGATCGCACAACGGGCATCAGCTCTAAAAAAGATGAAATTTGAATTTGCATTGAAAAATTATGAAATTGAAAGCTTTTTTGACAGTTTCAAGATTCGATTCTATGTAAACTGGTTGAATGACTGAAATGATTGCCCAATGCAACTGGTCTAAGCTTAATGCAACTGGTCAAAGCCCAATGCAACTGGTCTAAGCTCAATGCAACTGGTCAAAGCCCAATGCAACTGGCCTAAGACCACTGTATATTGCTCAAAGTCTTTTGAGTTGTGAAAAAAATAGGCTTGAAAATTCAAAAAAAATCAAAGATTTAGCCTCTGTTTCCATGGTCAACGCTGATGCCGTTTTTCAATTACAGAAGGCTGGTACATTCACACGGTACTAGACATGGGCATCGGGTCGGGTCGGGTCGGGTCGGGTCGGGTCGGGTCGGGTCGGGTCAAAAGTGACCCGCTGACCCGACCCGCGACCCGGCTTTTTTCCCGGGTGACCCGCTGACCCGACCCGCGACCGGGCTTTGTCGGACTAATGCCAACTATCTTTTTAAACTGCGATGAACATGGACACTATAAACTACAAAAATGACGAACTGTCACACTACAAAAACTTCTAACTGGCTTCAAATCTGTCGCATTGATATGAACTATAACTCAAAAAAATAGAGAATCTCAAGTGCTTTTGGATGGACTAAAGTACATCCAAAAATATCATTGCTAAAGAAAGTTAAAGTTTTTGGTCCTGTCAAAACGGACCGTACTCGCACGAAGTTGAAACAATCGAGCCGGAATACAAACCACTATAACTTTCTTTAGTATTGATATTTTTGGATGTACTAGAGTCCATGCGAAAGCACTTGAGATTCTCTATTTTTTGAGATTCTCTATTCTCTATTCATGTCAATGCAACAGATTTGAAGCCAGTTAGAAGCGCTTGTAGTTTACGTTTGTAATTTGTAGCGCCAATGTCTAAACTGCGACCTCCCATTTTCTTGACTGAATACTTTATGCTTAGTTTATAAAGGCTGCGATGCTCTCTCACATTCATTTATCATTTTTTTTGCGTTCATGAAAATTATTTTTATTGTTAATTTGGCTTTTTTTATTTCACTAAACTTCATTTTTTTAGCAATGTCCTCAATTGCCCGATCGTTTTTCGCAAGAGTTGGCGACGAAGATGTGTGTCACCTCTGCAACACCAAATACAAAAGAGGCAAAAAAGGCGGTACGAAAAACCTCAACGATCATCTCAATAACAAACACAAGGAAATATTTGAGGACTCAAAACAAAGTAAGATCCTTGCTCAGAAACGGCCATTCGAGCCAATATCAAGAGGAAAACTAACGCGTATTATTGAGAAGCGAGCTCAAGAAATAAAAGACTGGAGACTCGTTATGGGTATCGCTCGGCTCTGAAGATAGCTGCTACAGAGTTACACATCGAAAAAGGATCGGATTCAAGCAGTGATTTTTCTAATAGCACTAGTGAGTTTGTTTCTTATGGATCGGATTGTAGTTATTCGAGCAGTTATTGATAAGTAATTTGTTGTTGTTAATTTTTGTTTGCCTATTTCATTGTTGCGTTTGAAAAAATACCTATGTTAATAACATTTCTTGAAAAACATTTGGTAAATTTGCATTGATATTTTGAACCGACCCGGCAAAAATTTTTGGCGTGACGCGACCCGCTGACCTGACCCGGCGAAAATTTTGAGCTTGACCCGACCCGCTGACCCGACCCGGCAAAAATTTTTGGCGTGACGCGACCCGCTGACCTGACCCGGCGAAAATTTTGAGCTTGACCCGACCCGCTGACCCGACCCGGCAAAAATTTTTGGCGTGACGCGACCCGCTGACCTGACCCGGCGAAAATTTTGAGCTTGACCCGACCCGCTGACCCGACCCGGCAAAAATTTTTGGCTTGACCCGACCCGCTGAACCGACCCGGCGAAAATTTTGAGCTTGACCCGACCCGCTGACCCGACCCGGCAAAAATTTTTGGCGTGACCCGACCCGCTGACCCGACCCGGCCGCCAAAACTCGAAAATGAACATGTCTACACGGTACCCACCACTCAAATAGCCCTTTACCAAACAACAAGCGGCGATGTTCTAAAAATAGACACTTTTGATGAGATGAGAAATTGTGACAATGAGACTAGTTTTTCTAAATAAACCTTTATCCTACTCTTTTTATATTCAATCTTCGACACTTTTATTCAAATTCTCAAATTCACCGGGCAAGTAGGGTTACATTTCGCGAAAGCTTCCCGGAAATGCCGGCTAGAATTGCGGACTAATTGTTAGAGTAAATGACGAATCTGCAACTAATCAAGCAGTAACGTTTGAAACCTTGCTTAAACTTGGTATGACAAACGCTTTTACTCTTCTTTACCATATTTCTACATTGTCAGTACCCTGATAGAACTTGAGTAGCCTTTCCTGTCCATCATTCAGAGATTTTGAGATGAGACTGTCCATGCAATATTTCTTCTAATAGAAGACTGATGACTTTCCTTTTCACAAATTCACTGTTAGTAATAAGTATCAGAATACAGCCAAGCCTCTCTATAACGACACCCTTTGGACCGGGACTAGAGTGACGTTATAGAGAGGTGTCGAAGTTTTCAGCGTACACTGGAGTCTTTTACTTTTTCATGTGCGCCCATTTCTTTTGAGGATACAATATTTACAAGCAAAACACATTTTTTAACGAATACAATGACATTTGATGTTATTCATTTACCATTCAGGAGGTAACCTTTGATGGATTTCGTCATTCAGCAAAGCCAAGACTTTCCAAATCTTCCAAGATCAAAGATCTTTCTATTCTTGAATCTATCAACTTGAGAGTTTCCTTCAAGATCCAGTTTCGATTTTGTTCACATTTAAACTAGCTTTTATTGGGTTGTCCAGTTATAAATGCACGCCTGCTCTTGAACAACAGCATACCTTAGGGCTATACAATTTTATCAAAGCATATTCTCTATATGCTGTTCAAGATTTCTTATTTATTACAACCTTTCGTGTTTTTGACGTTAAACTAATTCATTTTTGATTTAATTTCCTTGTTTAGATGACCGAGACGAAGTTTCGTCTTCGTGCCAGTCTTTGGTCTGACTTCAAATTGGGCAAAAATGCCGCTGAATCCAATCGAGATCTCTGCAAAGTATTTGGCGAAGATGCTATTTCGGAAAGCCAGTGTCGCCGATGGTTTCAACGATTTCGAGAAGGAAATGAATCTTTGGAAGACGAAGACCACCAACGACGGCCTCCTGCGATCGAGAATGCAGTACCGAAGCAGGCGATAGAAATGGATCCTCGACAAACTACACGTGAACTTGCAGAAATATTTAGAGTAAGCCCTCAAACAATTTCCGAGCATTTAAATCAATTGGGGAAAACAAACCGACAAGGGAATGGGTTCCTCATCTTCTCAGCAATGTCAATAAAGCTACTCGTGTCACTATGGCGGGTATTCTTCTTCGTTTGGCAAAAAATACTGGGTTTTACGATGAAATCCTTATTTGCTATGAAAAATGGATTTAATATGATAATTCTACACGAAAACGGCAATGGCTAGAACCTGGTGAGAAGCCAATACCAACACCAAAATCCGACTTCCATGGCAAGAAAGTAATGCTTACTGTCTGCTGGAATTCCCAAAGCATTGTTTATTTTGAGCTGCTTAAACCTGGACAAACAATCACGGGTGAAACGTATGCACAACAACTGGAACGAGTGAACAATGTATTGCTACAAAAAGGCCTTGATCCTTCAAAAATAAAGTTCATTCAAGATAACGCCCGTCCACACGTTGCAAAGATTGTTCGGGAAAAACTCGAAGAGTTGGGCTGGAAAACTCTCCCGCATCCTTCATATTCTCCGGA